CTACTATTCCTTTTCTTACCATTCATTTGATATATGAGTAATAAGACAAAAAAAATTCGTCGGTTTAGAATGCTATTACACTTTTTGAGTTTTTTCGACCAACCTATGAAATGTAGAATAACCTTTTATTTGTTGTTTTGCTTCAACTTTTTATTTCTTTATGGTAACAATAATGTCTAGCCGCCATACTTGTAATATTTATTTGTTTAGAAAATAACTTTGAATTAAAATATTGAAAAAGCAAAAAGAAGAGATAAGTCCCGTCGTTAATTATACTTTAAACAAGAGACAAACATATCTTGCCCTTTGATATTTGTCATTTCATTCATAATTTTTCTAAAACTTTTTTGAGTGATTAGTTTCGTAAATAGGACATTAATGACCCACACTAATTCTAGTATTTCTTCAAATTCTATAATTGCATCAAAAATACAATTTACACAGATAATGGCAACTTCATCATTTCTATAATCTAATATTAGCTCACATTGCCCCCCACCTCCCCTAATGGATTGACCTACCCTTCAAATCTCAACTTTCAAAATGTTATTCTTTCCTCTCTCTCTCTTTCTATCTTTCTTTTTCCTTAATTTTTTCTTTCTCTTTTTGTTTTGTCTTTTTATAGGTGTTGCAATTATTTTGTCGACTGATTGTAATAGTATTCTTGGTTCTCAATTGAGAGTTTGATTATAAACCACATTATAAGATGAATTACTAACAATACCATTCGCATGGGGGCTTTAACTCATCTGCAATCCAAGAAACAAAGATACTCACAAGTCACCACTAGTTTTTTTTTTTGAAAAAGACACAAGTCACCATTAGTTCACTAGAATTTTGACAAAAACACGAAAGCATTAATTGTATATTTAGATATATATGTCCGACGATATCCATATTGATATGTCAATTGTGATTGTAATTGCAAAGTAACTTTACATAGTTTATCAGGTGAGTGTGTATTTTTTTTTTTTGAACAACATGTATTATTCGAATTTAAATTCAAATGGTATACCGTATACTACGAACCTATCACAAACTACTAGAATATATGTCATGGTAAACATGTTTACTTTTTTATATAAAACTATATGCAGTTTCCATCAATATAAATATATATCAAAATTCTGATGTGATATTTGCACATTTACAAGAAAAATGTGGCAATTAATGTTTGATGTAATAAGAAAAGATGGATAAAACATTAAAGGTCACCAATGCGACACCCAATGAAAAACGACATTTTTGAAGATGGAATACAAAAGGAATTGTTGAATCAAACTCCATTGGCAAAATGGGTCCATCTGTTATACTCTTTCTTTATTTTATTTTTTTCCACTAAACTTTCTTATTGATCAATTTTCACCATCCATCTTTTTATTAGATTAGCCATGCTAGCCTTCCATCGTTGGTTCAACATAGATCTCAACGAAAAGCGTTTGGACCTAAACATCTGGACTCCAAATCAGATTCGATGACGTAAGTGGACTGATGATAGTCAACTCTAACTCTTGTTGTTACACTATGGGGATAGTTATGTGTTTCTGTTTGGGCTCACAAGTCACAAGCACTTTATTAGTGTTTATACAAATACATATGTTATATTAATTAACCGTGCTAATAATAGAGAAACTTATATTCATTTCATAAACATTATGTGCTAGAAAACCCACCTTGTTATTATTCTCTCGATTTTGGTGCATCGAATTGAAATTCTAGGAAGACTTCATGGAGTTCCGACGACTCACTCCAACCAATCATTCAGTTATAGACCATTTTGATGAAATCTATCGATTTTTCCTTTCCAAGTATGCGCGCGAGACATTCGTGTGAAACCATGTATATGGTGTAACCAGTGAAGTTCAATAGGTTAATTTAGGATCAGAGTTTTATTATAGAATAAATTACGGATTTTGTCCTTTTTCATAAGGACATTTGTGGATTTTGCCCTTTTTTGAATAGTTTATGCATTTTGCCCTTTTTCATGCTCCAAAAATATGATTTAACATGCGTTTCACTCGTTATGTTTGGGTTTAGTCGGTTCCATTTGTTCTTAGGGTTTAGTATTTGGTATAAAGTAAGTATTTTTGGAAAAAAAAATCCTAAATACGTACATTTTTAAGTGTTAAAAAGAACAAAATCCGTAAACTATTCAAAAAAAAGGCATTTTCGTAAATTTTTCCTAAAAAAGAGCATTTTAAACAATAATCCCTTTATTATAGCTTTTGAGTAATGAAAGTTAAAAAGCTTAGAATGTTCAAATTTCTACTTATGGCGTATTTTATTCGATTTGAGAGATGTCAGCTTTATTCTTCACCAATACAATTTTTATTTAATTGATTAAATAAGTTCTTTTTTGTTTGCACAAAGAAAGTTTCTTTTTTTTAATCAATGTCATATTCTTCTTGGTCTACGCTCGGAGGACGTCAACGAGGATATTGGTTCCCTAAAGAAGAAACCTCTACTTTTATTAAAAACAATATCTCTCATGTATTCGTTGATATGTAAAAAGATGTCCAATGTGAATTTATATGATTGTGAAAAAAAAAATTATTGTTGTACTTTAGATAACAATGTATACTCTATGATAACATTGCATCAATTATGAATGGATGGGCCAAGTATAAAATTTAATTATGATTTAAGAAAATATTATGTATATAGGGATACTATATGAAAAGTGTAGTCCTTTTTTACTTTCTACCGAAAAGTTTTTTTTTATTTTTATCAATTAAATCAAATCGTTTGCATTACATGCTACGGCTACAAACTATTTGGATTTATCTCCCCTATCATTCAGAAAATTAAAGTATCGTTCACCTTCTAGATACACTATGCCGATTAACGTTTTGAGTGCAACTGCCAACTAGTGTTCGAAATAATACTTGGGTGAGTTAAGTTTAAGCTTTAAGTAACTAAAAATTATATATAACGATCCAAAAATCATGACGGATAAATGATTCTGCGAGTAATTATATTTCCTTATAGTTTAAAAAACTTATTCATATATACAGAAATTCAACCCCCAATAAACTTGTCTGATAGATATTAATAACTGTCTTAATATGAGATACAAGAGCGAAACAAAATAATGCTATCTTCTATCTATAGAAATTTTGAATGGAATTACTTTATAAATGTGAATTATGTGGATGACTGACTATTCAGTAGTCACTGAACACAAAAAGGTACCAAAAAAAATTATTCCAATCAGTGAGAGATCTTCAAAGGAAAGATTCTCATTCGCGCCAATACTTTTGCTGGAAAAAAGTAAAACTTTTTAAATTATTCTATAAATTTTTTTGTTGATGTTCCCTTACGAAAAAAAAAGTATTCATCAGTACCAAAATGTCTGGCGCATATGATCGTATAGACGATAAGTAGTTGTCAAAATTTCATAGGGCAATGGCTCAAGCAAGTGAGACATTGACACCTAGCCCATCCTGCCATCCACATCTATGTCACTATATATGTGGGTTCACAAAGGTGCGTTTTTCTTATGTGAATCATGTAAATGCTATAAAGATTTGTAGTACATGAGCGATTATTATTATTACGAAACTCCTGAAAAATATGATATATAATCAGATGGGTTGAGGAGGTATTGACAATTGTTTCTAAGTGCACTAAACACGTTTTGAGCTATTAAGTCCGAAGTTTAGGTCCTTTAATTTACTCGAAGGTATGCTTCAAAAAATTTACTACTTTTTAGAAATTTCTGCATGATCGTTATTCGAGAAACATGCTCACGCAAAAATTGATCAGACGCTGGTAATTCCAAGTGATAGCAACAACACAAAATCTTGTGGAGAATGATGATGATGATGCACATATGGATTTCCATAAATTTTGTAATCTCCAAAATATTGTGGAGAATGAAGGAGGAGAAACATAATATTTTAAAAATCAATAAAGAAAGAGAAAGTGATGGAAAAATAAGTATGTGGTAGAAAAAATAGGGTTCCTTCTTCTCATTTGTCTCTTTCAAGCTTTATGATGCAAAGCGACCCTTCTTTTTATTTTCTTTATTTTCTTTTATTGTTATCGTTAGTGTCACTTTCTTTTTATTAATTTCATAAAGTCGTATGATCGTATCCATTGTTTTTATTTTGCTCCGACAGGACCGACACTGATCTTTCTATATCTTTCGGTAATAAATGTTATAGGATTCCTTTTTCAGATCACATCATTTGTATTTTATTTTATTTTCGTTTTAACATAATACACTAATAAAATGACTTCATAAAATATATGGTTGAGGATGGGGAATAAAAGATATGGTCGAGCCAGACTTCCCATCCTTTAGGTTGATAGAACATCCCTCACTAACAAACAACTAATGAAATAAGATTAAAACTTGATCGTGTCAAAAATTGTCCGAGATATTTTAAATGAACATGATAACATATTAATCTCTCTTTGGTACTTTATTGAATTTATTGAGAAATAGCTAGTATAAAGTCTGTGGAGTGCGTTGCTAGAATAATAGTGTAATTGGTCTCACAGTTTGGCAATAATTTGTTATTGTACTTACAAATATATACGTAAAACTTTTTTTTTTTTTTTTTTTACGTAAAACATTAAATAGAGTAACACAACTAAAGAAAGCTAAATTTGAACATGAAAAACAAATATTATACTTGTAATAAATTTTCATTTAATTTCAATATGAGATACGTCATAGATACCACAACAATTGATCTTATCAAAACATTGAAACACATAGCTTATTGTCATTATTAAATCACATTCAGTATTAAAACTTGTATATTGCATGTTGTTGACAAGAAAAAAAAAAATCAAAGCATGTAAAACACCAAAAATAGACCTAGAAAATTATATGTTACTACGAAAATAAGAAATCATCAGTCTCCACTGCAAAGTCTGGCTAGCTCTTTGGATTGACAACCATCTTGATTATATCAAAAAACTGTTTCAAAAATAGATATTAAGCAGTCGAAGCCAAAAATCAAGCACTTCATCGCTTAAAGGAGAGTCGCAAATTCCGCATGGCGTGGGAATATAGGTACCATGGAGAGCCATTGAGTCCAAGAAATTGACTCTATTGACTTCCTATTGCTAATCTATTTTTCAAAATAGCCACATCGTAGAGATACTTGTATATGTGTATCAATGAGAAATTTTCCTAGGGAGTAATTTGAAGATATTTAATTTGCGGTTGTAATAATTCTTTGGAAAATAATTTGACTTGTACACACGGCAACAAAAGAATGATCTAAAGACAAGCAACAAGTATCTGAGTATCCACCACCTCTTGCTGTTCCTGTTCTTGTTCCTGTTCGATTCCAAACTCTCACTTTCTCTGCCCCCTCGTGTCTGGCTCCCACCTTTGTGTCCACTCAACCAACAACAATAGTGTATCTCTTTTCCTCCGTTAAATAATTTTATATCTCCCCGTTACATTTTCTTATTACAACAACAACCAAAAATAATTCACCTGAGACTCAACTTTCCTCTAGGTTTTTCGCATTCAATATTTTCTTTCTATATTTATATATGGTCGCCGGCGATGCCAACGGCCGTGAATGTAGCGAAACAATGCTTAACGGCAGAAGCAGCTTACGCGTTAGAAGAAGCTGTGAACGTTGCACGTCGAAGAGGACACTCACAAACGACGTCGCTTCACGCAATCTCAGCTTTACTCTCTCTACCAACCTCAGTTTTACGTGACGCATGTGCTCGTGTTCGTAACTCTGCTTACTCTCCTCGTCTTCAGTTCAAAGCTTTAGATCTTTGCTTAAGTGTTTCTTTAGACCGGATCCAATCGGGTCAACAACTTGGATCCGATGATTCACCACCTGTTTCAAACTCTCTTATGGCTGCAATCAAACGATCTCAAGCTCATCAACGTCGTTTACCTGAGAACTTCAGGATCTATCAAGAAATGTCACAGAGTCAGAACTCGAATTCACTTTCTTGTGTTAAAGTGGAGCTTCGTCAGTTGATTCTTTCGATCTTGGATGATCCGGTTGTGAGTCGGGTTTTTGGTGAAGCGGGTTTTCGGAGCTCCGAGTTAAAGCTTTCCATTATTCGTCCTGTTCCTCATCTTCTCCGATATTCATCACAACAACCTCTGTTTCTTTGTAACGTAACCGGGAATCCTGAACCGAATCCGGTTCGATGGGGTTTCACCGTACCAAACCGAAATTTTAACGGAGATTCGGATTACCGGAGGATAAGCGCGGTTTTCATGAGGGAAAAAGGGAGGAATCCTCTGCTTGTTGGTGTATCGGCTTACGGTGTTCTAACCGGTTATTTAAATTCGCTTGAGAAAAACCGAACCGACGGGATGATTCTACCGACGAAGCTTCACGGTCTAACCGCGGTTGACATCGGTTCAGAAATCTCCGATCAAATCATCGTCAAATTCGATAAAACCTACACCGACACTAGGTTTCATGATCTAGGGAAGCTTGCGGAGCAAGGTTCAGGACCTGGACTAATCCTGAACTACGGTGATCTGAGAGTTTTCACTGATGGGGAAGGAAACGTACCGGCGGCGAATTACATCGTAAATCGAGTTTCGGAGCTGTTACGGCGACACGGGAGAAGAGTGTGGTTGATCGGAGCAACGACGAGCAACGACGTTTATGAGAAGATGTTGAGGAAGTTTCCGAATGTGGAGAAAGATTGGGATTTGCAGTTACTCACCATCACTTCTCTTAAGCCTTGTTTGCCTCACCACAAGTCCAGGTTATTATTACTTCTCTTAAGCCTTAAGCCTTCTCTTAAAACAATGGTATAATGCAAAACAGAGTGTCATTTAAATGTAGAAACAGAGCATTGATTACAATGTGACTTCTAGATTCCTCTATTGCACTAACTTCGTGAGTATATTTTCAATGTCTTTTTTTTTTCTATGTACTGTTGTCTTACTTGCATGATGTTGTAATTGAACACAGTTTGATAGGATCATTTGTTCCATTTGGTGGATTCTTCTCAACAACTCCTTCTGACCTGAAACTACCCTTCTCCGGTTTCAACAAGGAAATCACTGGACCGGTTTCGTCAATCTCCGATCAGACCCAATCTACCTTGCCACCTTGGTTACAGATGACCACAAGAGCTGATTTAAACCAAAAATCTGGTGTCAAGGTCGGTTTACATTCTCTTCTCCTAATTTGTTAATCTCCCATAATCCTAAGAGTATGTTTCTTGTACTACAAGTTTCATTATGTTATGTTAATTGCAACGTGTATTTCCACCCCCTCAGTGCAGACCAAAGAAGGGTTGGAATCAGTTTGTGGAGATAAGTCCACGAGCAGTGCTTCTGCATCGACCGGTTCAGCTAAATCTGTCACTACTGATCTGAATCTAAGGATATGTTCAGTCACTGCAGGATCCGGTCTCAAGAAGCATTTGGATAGCAAAGATTTTTCTCAGCCACAATCTGTGTCCTCCTATTGCTTGGATAATCCAAGGGACCTCAGCGCAGAGAGCTTCAAGATTATTTACAGAAGATTAACCGATAGGGTTTCAGGGCAAGATGAGGCTGCTAGAGTAATCAGCTGCGCATTGTCACAACCGCCTAAGATTGTCACTCGAAGAGATGTTTGGCTCAATTTGGTTGGGCCTGATACTGTAGGAAAGAGGAGAATGTCGCTTGTCCTTGCTGAGATTGTGTATCAAAGCGAACACAGATATATGGCCGTTGATCTTGGTGCCGCGGAGCATGGAATGGACGGTTGTGATGATGCGATGCGGTTGAGAGGAAAGACGATGGTGGATCATATCTTTGAAGTGATGTGTAGGAATCCTTTCTGTGTGGTTTTCCTTGAGAACATTGAAAAAGCGGACGAGAAGCTGCAGATAAGCTTGTCAAAGGCAATCGAGACCGGCAAGTTTATGGATTCTCACGGGAGAGAAGTCGGTATCGGCAACACTATGTTTGTTATGACATCATCTTCACCAGAAGATTCCGGAATAAGAACATCTTATTCTGAAGAGAAACTATTGAGAGCCAAAGGAAGGCAAGTGGAGATATGGATTGAAACTGTACCTAGTTTACCAATGGTGCGATCAGTTTATGGCCCAACCTCGGTGAACAAGAGGAAGCTGATGGGATTAGGGAAACTTCAGGAGACGAAAGATACTGTGGAGACCGTAAAACGGTGGAACAGAACAACTAATGGAGTTCTTGATCTGAACCTTCCGGCTCAAGAAACCGAAATCGAGGAAAAAGATCATTGTGAAGAGAACTCAAACGTTTGGTTAATGAACTTGAAGAATCACGAACGTCTCATTGAGGTTCCTTTCAAGCCTTTTGATTTTGAAGGACTAGCTGAAAAAATCAAAAAGAGCGTAAAAGAAATTTTCGACAAATGCGTGAGATCGGATTGCTTGCTGGAGGTTGACCCAAAGATCATAGAACGATTGCTAGCGGCTGTTTATTTCTCAGATAGTAGAAAAGATATCAAAGAGTTGATGGAGAAAATAATGAGTCGAGTGTTCTTGAAAATTAAGGAAAGGTATGAAATCACTACTAGTTGTGTAGTAAAATTAGTTGGTCGAGATCTTGACATTTTTCTTGAGGATCAAATGGACTTGTTCTTTGTAAAATCTCAGTAGGTTAAAGAGAGCTTTATATGGAAAGTGTATCATATAAGGTAGAGTTAGTAATAGGTATTATTGTTCTTTTGTGTTGCTATACTATTATAATGTGTTGTTCATGAAGTTGTGAGTGGATATTTCTCCTTGTTTATTTGTATAAGCTTATGTAAATGAATAGTTATTTACATTTTATTTTATTTCATTTTCCATGTTTTAAATAAATCGACTGCATTTAGTGAATAATGTCAATATTTGTAAAATATAATAACTGTTTTTAATATATATTTATGTGTGTAAAGATTTCTAACTCCAGATCATTTATAGCAAATAAACGTTGACGAGAACATTAATCTCATTTGTAACTTAAACAAAAAAAACAAATAAATACGATATTGTTGTATTTAAATAGCTTCGCAACAAATTTCAAAACAGCAAGACAAGAAGTCAGTTTAATTATCTTTGAAAAAATTGAAATTTTCGAAAAATGAAGAAAGTTATATTTTTTTATTTTCCTAATTCTTGCTTCAACATGTAGGATAAGTATGTATAGTGTTTTATACTTCTTTTTTTCCAAAATAGTAATTGGATTGTTTATTTATTTATAGATGCATCAGTTATTATAGCCAAATCTAATCCTAAAGAGGAGTCCCACTCATCCACTTTGGCACAGAGTCCTCAAAGACAAATTGACTTGCAGATACAAGGCCCTACAAAAATTATTGTATATAAGAAAACTTAACAAATTTTTAGGTAAAAAGGCCCTCAAAATTTTGAGACCCTAATCGGTGGCTTCACTGGCTTGCCCTCTCCGCCGGGCCTGTACATATGACGAACATTCCAATGCCCCTGAAGCTCATGGACCACCCTTACTTTTAGATGAATGTGCCGATCATTGTCACAAAATGAACAAATTTATTCGTTCTTGTAATGATGATGGTTGTATTTGTACGTCCGTTTATGAAGGCTTTGGAATTCCTTTTGATAGAAACTAACATTGTCATATATAATATAGGAATTGGCATTTCATGGCAAATGGCAGACAAAATTAAATAAATGATTTTATATTATTCATTCAGTTGTTGAAGAACGAGTAAGTTATTTCATTAATATGTTTTTTTTTTTTGAAAAATATGTAATTAGAAAAGTTTATTTGTTGTACAATAACAACAAATTAAGGTCTTTTTGTTTTGCTCTGGGCACAAGAAACTGATAAGGCCACTTGACCAAAACGTCTTCTTCTTTTTCTCAAATGTATTCGGCAGTTACAAAGGTTTTCTACATTGTGAAAATAAACTAAGGCCTTGAATGGTTACTAGTTTTTAAAGTAGTTTTTGGTTTTTGTTTATGGATTTTTTTTTTTCACCATTTAAGATTTTAAAAAATTAGATTCCTTAAAATTTAGGAAAACTAGTTTTTGAATGGTTTCTCCAAGTTTTAAAAGAAACTAAAAATCATAATTTTGAGGTTTTTGTAGAAAACTATCTTTTTCGATGAGATTAGGTTTCATTTTTTATTTTTTATTTTTTTATTTATTAATTTTTCTATTTATAGCTGAAAACTAAAAACCAAAAATTTTAAAACCAAAAACCACTTAAAAACTATTAAACATTCAAGGCCTAAAATTTGATTTTCTTAATTTGTTCTATGATAGGGATGAATAACTCAGAATCAGCCTTCCAAGTTACAAAAAAATTTTGTCCTAAAAAATTGTACACACTCGATGACTCAGTCCACAATCTGATGTAATTTGCTGACGATTTGTGGGAAATATTTTGGAGGCTAACACACAAAACCATCTCACTATAAAAGTGTTACTATACTATTAAGTTGACCATATAAACAAAGAACCAAAATTGACCAGAAGGAGCGTAGCAGAGTTTTATTCTTCAGCAAATCTACGACTCAACTTGCTCAGAAACATGATGATACTTTTCTTTTGGTAAACATGATGATACTTCTTCGTGGAAAGAAAATTACACACATATTGTATAGATAATTAGACGCTGTGTTGGAATTCACATATCAGTTTGATTGGTAGTATGATTTATTTGCTGATTATGATTGAAAACTATCAGCATGCTGTTTTAAGGTAATTATAAGTTATGATGGGTACTTATGAGTTGGAGTGTTGGACCATATATAGGATTAGGTATTAAAATGCATAAATACATGTTATATGTAGATGTATATGTGTGTTCATATTTTCATATAAATAACAAGAAGTACATTTTCTTGTAATTTGGTGATTTAGATTTCTTAATCCATTGATTTTTTTTTTGGTGGAGTTATATGAATTGAGTTCACAAAATGGCAAATTTGTGATGTATGATTGGACTAGGAAAACTCGATGAACATACACGGAAGATAGAAGAATCAAGAATCAAAGAAAAGTAGAGACTAATGAGGAGTAAGTCAAATGATCAATCTAACGGACTAATCCATTAAGTTTTGTGTGACTGAAATTAATTAAAATTAAAAAAGGAGAAAATATATGTGAATATTAATTATTATATTTTGTAAAAAGTTAAAGGTTTTGTTTAAATTTTTTAATATCAAACAATTAAGGAAATGGGAAAAAAGTGGAAGCGGGCGGCCAAGTGAAAGACATTCTCTGTCGCCCACCCAAACACCAAAGAAGAGAAGGCGTGCCTCACTTTCTCTCTTCCTCCACGCTCATTCTATTGCGTGTTTCTCACTCGCTTTACCCTAATCACTCCATTACAACTCTACCTACAAGACCATTAGGATAAAGACAATTAAGATAAGCTTTATCAATAAGAGCATTGAGATAAAGTTTGATCTCTATTTATGAATTTTTTACTTACTACCTAGATTTTGATTCGTACCAATCTTCTAAAGTATGTATTGTTTGAATATACCGAACCAAAAGTATGTTGTTTTAATAGATCATGTAAAATACAGTATGTATTTAAGATTGTTGTGTTTTATTATAGTGATCTTTAGAAAAAGTGTAGCCAACGTGATAATGAAAGCGCGTGTTAGAGTATTGAAACACTCACACGCTTGTGGAATGGTTACCTGCTAAGTCGGTCGATTTGATCGATGGTGGGTCTTTTACACATCCCCAACTCCATTTACCATTTATCAACCACATATAATATCTCTTTTATTTATTATTTTTATTTTTGACAGCACTTTTTTCTTAATATTATTTTGATACAAATAGTTTTTAATATCTTATTAGGATATGTTGGAACTTGGAAATACAAGTATTTCTCAATATCTGATCAGGACATTTGCCCATACATATTTTGGAAACCCATGCATTTATATGAAAAGCAGCATGCATATGTAAAATATAAACAACTGTAGATCTGGTCAGATGTTAAAATTACAATGTCTTTTGAGATTTGAACTATAATTGTCCTGATAATACATAACTATTTGTAATTATAAGTCTTTTTCCCTAAGTAATGTATATAGCTAAATGCATGCAGATAATTTGATATATCTGATACATATATAGCCATATCGGGAATAGATTGTAACAACAACATATAATTTTTGGGTTACTTTCTATTGTGGTTTTTTTAGTACAAAAGGATCTCCTGAATTGAATTCACCGGATGGGTGAGGTATAATCAAAACTTTGAGATATTTATTCTTTGTATAATTTTTTTTTTTGGCAATCAGACTCCATATATTAATTCACGGATAAAAACCCTCTTCTAGAGAGAGCCAATCGGGTACCGTCGAACTTACATGGAAAAAGCAAAACCCGCGAGCTCTTGCACATTTCGCAAGATGGTCGGCGGAGGAGTTACCACTACGAGGGATATACTTAATATTAAATGAAAAAAACAATTCTCTGTAATGCACAAAATCCCTCATCTCTGTAGCGAAAGTAGGCCACTCATCTGGGCTTGAAGTCATCTCAATAAGATCCGAGCAATCCGTCTGAATGAGGATACTAGTCAACGGGATTGCCAATAAGCACTTCATCGTCCACAAAAGAGTCTCTAATTCAGCATGCAAAGGGGAAAGGCTTCTACGCGAACCCTTTAAGCCCAAATGCATCAGTCTTCCACCCAAGGAAACAATCCACCCATGTCCACTCCTAGCCTCCTTCCCGTGCCATGATCCATCAATAAAACACACTGGCCTATCTGCTGGAATTGGCGTTACTTGTACAATAGGGTTCCTCTCGGGTTGTTGGTCTTCTCGCCTGTTTGCTCGCCTCCAAGCCTCTTCCTCTTGAGTTGCTAAATCCATTGTTTCCTGAGGTGGTTCGCTCAGATTATCAAAAATCTTTCGATTTCTCGCCTTCCATGGAAATACTCTCAGACTCTCCTCATCCGCACCCGCCTCTTTACCCCGCCAATACAAGTAATCTAAGTTATTGTATAGCGAGGGGGAGGGGAAAAGGGCTGGGGATGATGGGATATTGGAAAGGGCCCATACTTGTCTAGCAGGTGGACACTCAAAGATAAAATGATTAATCGTTTCTTCTTCTGCTCCGCATCTGGGACATCCTTTATCTCTACCAATATGGCGAAAAAATAGTTGTTGGCACGAGGCCAAACATCCTGTCACACATTGCCACACGAAATGTTTTAATTTCCGCGTAGTTTTTAATTTCCATGATTGCGCCTTTAGTGCATTAACACTTGGTCCCTGAGAAGGGTGGTTGCAGGCAGGACGAGAAATAGTTCTCGCGGCTTCATATCCAGACTTAACTGTATAATTGCCAGACTTTGTTAGAGTCCAACAATATCCATCACTCGAGACTTTTAAGCTCGGTTTGATCCCTAGTATAAGGGTAATTTCTTCCGGTGGGAACAATTCCCGAAGACGGTCCACCTTCCACTTTTTAGTTCCGAAGTCGATCAAAGTGTTGACGCAGGCCAGTGGATCTCTCTCCGAGGTAAGGCCCTTGGGTGGGCGAGCTGGGGAATCCGGGATCCACGGATCGGTCCAAATATAAGTTCTGAAGCCCGAACCTATAGTCTTACGAATCCCCTTTTTTAGAACAACTTTGGCGGCCAACATACTTCTCCAACCATAGGATGGTCGGTTAGAGACAGTGATCTCTAAGGGACTGCAGTAACGAAAGTAGCGTCCTTTAAGGACCCGGCTAAGTAGGGAGTCCGGGAACCTAAGTAGTCTCCATAATTGCTTCGCTAACAAAGCGAGATTGAAATCTTCCAATGTCTTGAATCCTAGCCCGTCGTCTGAT